TAATAATTTTTAATTTTATTTAAAAAATTATAAATACTTTTTAAAATTTCAGGCAAATTTGCCTGGAATACAGTTTAGGAGATAATAATTACTAAGTTAATTTTTCTTTAATCTATTCTAGTTTTTTATACAGAAGAGTAAAACTTTTTTTTGTTTTATATTTTTTTTTTATAAATTATTTATTTCTCTTTTTTTTTTTTTTATACTCATTTTTTTAGTTATAGTTTATTTTTTTTTTTATAGAAGGTTTATTCAGATAAATCTAGTTTAGCTTGTAAACTAGTAAAACAGGTTGTATCTAAGCAGTGAAATGCAGGCTAAGTGAAGTTAAATATAGTTTAAAGAATTGTAAAAATAATAAATATAAAACTTAGCTTTAGTCATAGTACATAATATAGTATCTAATAAAGTAAAAACTATTAAAGTTTAAAAAAAAAAAAAAAAAACCAACAAATAAAATCAACAAATAAAATCTATACTCTTTTTTTTTTAATATTTTTTATTATTATATATATACTTTTTTTTACTTTTTTTTTTTAAAAAAAAAATAATAAAAAAATAATAATAAACTATAAAAAAAATAAATTATAAAAAAAAATAAAAAAAATAAAAATTTATATAAGCTTTTTACAGTATTTTTACTAACTAATTTTATTATAAAAATAATAAAGAATTGCTTTGTACGTTTATAATATTTTTAACTTTTAAATTATAAGTTTTTAATAATAAATTAATTATTTAAAAGTTTTAAAATTCTAACATATATAAATATATTGTTAAACAAAATTTAGAACTTTTAAACTATCGAATTTTGGCAAAAAATCTATTTTGGTGGTTTGTAGCGATAACATGTGACTGCGCTCGAGCCCTTTTAAATCTTCCGGAAGTTGTACAAAGCATAGAAAATAGGCGTTGTGAAACTGCGGCCATTATATATAAATCGAATCTGCATTGCCTCCTCCATGGATGTTCGATAAATTTCACTTTAAAAAAATTATACATATACAAATATATACACATTTTGGTGATCGATAATAATACATTGTTTTATTGTTTTGATTATCATTATGACTTGCGCATTGTTATAAAACATGGTCTGCCCATTTTCTGCTGCGATCGATCTAAATTGAAAATTAAATTATTTGTTATCAACTGTTTATGTCGTAAATTTTTATTTTTGTCTTTGCAGCTCCGATGTTAATTTTATAAATCACAAACCCTTATACTGTCACCTAAAACTTAACGCTTAATCACCCATTAGTAGATTGTGTAATCGCAATTTTTTCAATTTATCCATAAAAAAGCCTACTTGTACGCGCTATTCCTTTTTGGTAAGATGCGGTCACACCGTGGTATTACCGTATGGTAACCTACAATTGATACCCATATCCGTCCAAATCGACAGAAAAAATGGGTCGTGTAAGGAAAGACAGTGTTCATGACTCTTCTTTTGCGAACAACAAACCCGCAAAATTGTCGACAAAGAAACTAACAACTAATAACCTTTGTACGAAATGTAAAAAAGAAGAAAGTGAGTTCTAAAATACTTTTACATGTTTGCAAGTGGGCGTTGTTCTTTATACTTTAGGTAGACGGTTGTTAATTCACTTTCTAGGAAGACAAAATGACCTTTGCACAATTTGCATAACCTGCCTTCGTTCTCACTTCCTGAACTCCAAAGAACTTTCTAACATTCAAATAACTACGTTGTTTCTCATTTCATACAGGCGTTGATGGACGGTGGATACAATGCGACAGCTGCTCAAAGTGGTACCATACAGCATGTGTTAGAATTCAACTAGACGATAATGGCGAATTTTCTGAAGACTATTACTGTATACAATGTAGAGAATTAGACATATTAGAGCATTCGTCTAGGTGAATAATGGCTATAATTTTTTTTGTTAATATGTTTAATGTCTTTTTTCTTTTTTTTTTGGCCAAGTTGTTTAACGAGTTGACGTCACACGGCTCAATTAGAATAAATTACTTAACTATTTGGTAACAGGCCGTTCTAATTCCTCAACACATATTTTTTTAACAGCGAAAAAGAATATACACCGAATAGGAAACTTTCAATTTCTTCTGCGTCGTCTTCACGCAGCAGTGGTTCTACGTCACACAAAAAATTAAAAAGTAATAACGGGACATCACATATACCATCTCCAGAACCATATATTTTGGAGAACGGTGCCAATTCAACGACGGAAGTGGAACATGACAATAATAATCATAGTCCGAATGTTATTCAAGGTAAGATGTGAAACTTATAAAGGGTTAACGAGGTATAATTGTAGAATCTTAAAAACACAAATATTGATGGTCAATACAAAACAGGGTTTAAGGACCGGATGCAATATTTGTGTATATTATCGAAGTTGTAGGTGTTGAATACATCTGATAACGTTGATTGTGAAAAGGTTAGAAATAATAATACCACAGAAAAGGATGTCCGTACACACGAGGATCATTCGATTATTTAGTCCTTGACACAACTTTCTATTCACAATGTTTTAACACATGTTAATTTTGATAAATCAATTTTCTTTTATAGGTTCACAAACGCAATCAAAACCAACTTGTAAATTACAAAAGATTACTTCACCAACAAAGCGTTCCAATAGTCACGGTAATAGTGAGGTTGAGCGTCAAGAAACAGTATCAATCACAACTTCTACCGTGAGTGTTTCGGAAACCACGTTGTTTCATCCTTATAACTTTCCTAATCCTATTTCATATAACCGAGCACTTCTTCGAGTAGCACAAATTCGTGAGTTTATCTTGACTCATTGTCCCGCAGCAACAAGAATGGAAGGTGCCGATGGGGCAGAAAATAATGGTAACCGGCCTGTATCATTACAGTTAGCTGAGGAGCTATGGAAGAAAATGGAAAAGTTGGAAAGAACACACGATAGACGAAAATATAATAATCAATGATTATATGGATAGGTTGTTTGGGAATGAACTTTTTATTTTATTTTTTTTATCTGGTGTATTTGATCTTAGCATTTAATTCAATGAAAATGAAGATCAAGTTGATATGCTTTTTCTATAGATATTGTGTTCGTTCGGTGTATATAGTTATCGTGTATTTTCTTGAATTTTATAGTATCTTCGTTTTATCTGTCAGCGTTTCTTTGACTTCAGATTTACTATCATTCTGCTTAAAACAAAAAAAAAAAAAAAAAAAGAAAAAGAAAAAAAAAAAAAAAGAAAGATATAAAATGTGTTATAAGAAACGAACAAAATCTGTAAATTTTAAAAAAAAACTTTTGTTTAAAATAAAAATAAATGACTTTGTTTAAAAAAAAAATAAAAATCATACGTACGTATGTACGAAATCTGGCGCGACGGCACTATTAGTGTAACTTTGTTATATGACTTTTAATTGGTTAGTCGTCTCATTTAAATTACGTACAAACACAAAACGAAGTTTCTATTTATGTGTCAAAAAATTATGAATATCGCATTCAGCACTGATCGAAATTTTTGTCGTTTTAATCATAATGTCAAATTCAAGACTCTTAAAACCAGAAACGCATCGATATTATCTCATCGATGATAACGAGAATGAGGCAAATGAAAGTGATATTTCAAATCAGCAGGAAGATTCAATAAATATTCCTCCTAAAGATCACTATCAAATTGTATACCTGATTTTTTTTCTACAAGGCGTGGCAATGCTCCTAGGGTGGAATGGTAAATAATATTAGAAATTTATAGAATTATTTTTATATAAACTTTATACATGACTATTGATACAGTAATATATTTCATTCCTTTGCATTGCAGTATTTATCACCGCCTCAGTCTTCTTTCATTCGAGATTCCTTGGATCTCCTTATTCCGATAATTTTCAGAATTACTTTTCTATTGTCAATATGGGATCAAATTTATTATTTCTCACCCACGCCTTGTATACACAAACGACGGTTGGTTTTTATTGATATTTGAGTAATTGAATATTTGTTTTTTATCTAATTTTATTACGATCCAGGCGAATGTTTCGGTCCGGTTGATCTTCTCTCTTTTTGTCTCTGCTTTCACTTTCTTCGCTATAACAGTATCCACACAATTCTTAGAACTATTTACACCATCAGGATACTTTTATTTTGCCATCACATTAGTATTTCTTATCGGAATGACAACCGCTTATCAACAAAATGCAATATTTGGGATCGTAGCTTTATTTCCTCCAAAATATACTCAAGCCGTAATGAGGTAATGAATATTTGAAAAGTATTTTATAGGTTTGCTTAAATTTCTCTTTATTTATGCTAACACTTTTCTTGCTTTAAATGAACTCGTTATCTGATCAAGTGGTCAAGGTATGTTAGAAAGTTAACATTTTCATGACTCTTTTAATTTTCTTAGAGAGTAATTAAATTTTTTTAAAAAACTATGTTTAGGTTTAGCCGGCCTTGCTATATCACTTTCTCAAATTTTTAGCGCACTTGCCGTTGATCAAACATCAAATCAAACGCCAGCTGGTGATGATTTAACACTCAGTACCTTTATTTATTTTCTTTCCGCTTTTGCTGTCATACTTGTTTCATTAGTCTCGTACTTCATTCTTATTCGTTTACCCCTTTACATATATCACGTCTCACCAGACTTGACTTTTGTGAATCAAGGTGTAGATAATTCTTTAAACGAAAGATCTTACAAAAATACATTTAACAAAATTAATAAGCTAATTTTTGCGGTAGCTTTTGTCTTTTGTGTGACCTTGAGTGTTTATCCATCTATAACCTCATTCATTAAGTCTGTGGCCCCTGATGATAGCAAAAATAAGTTTCAATACGATTATTTATTTATACCATTACATTTCTTGGTTTATAATTTTGGAGATTTGCTGGGCAGATATCTACCATCTCAAGAAGAGCTGGTGATAACCAATCAGAATCAAATAGCATTTATGTCGATTTGTCGTGTTATTTTCTTGCCATTAATACTGCTATGCAATGTGGATTCAGGATTACACGGGGAGAGAAGTTTACCATTGTTAATAAATAGCGATTTAATATATTTTTTAATTATATTTTTATTAGCTGTTTCTAATGGTTACGTTGGATCTTTAGCGATGATGGCTGGACCACAAGTGGTGGGTGTTGAAAAGGACCTTGCAGGAATACTTTTATCATATTTCTTGGTAGTCGGATTGACCGTTGGTTCAATCTTTTCTTTTCCATTACGAGCTATCAGTTGGGCTTGATTCTTCAATTCGCAAATAATGGAGATCTTTGAAGCTATTTGCGTAATCATTTTTTCGGAATTAAAATTTAACAATATTAGCATTGATATAATTATTAATCTTATTAATAACATAATTTGGACTTAATAAGGTTTATAACCATTTTTATCTTGCACAATAATTTTGTTCGAACTTTTTTATTTATTTAAAAAAATGAAGTTTTGTAATTAATAAATAGATACGCTTAATTTATCAAATAATTGAATTTTAACTATCCACTGCATTGCCATAAAAATTTTAACCTTGACAAATAAGTTGAATTTAACTATCCATTGTATTAATATAAATTTTATTATCAATTTTTGTTACGAAAATACAAATACATTGTTTAAATCAAATTTATAGAGATCATCAACACGAAGTTCACATTAAAAGCTAGCCTGTAAGTCGATTATTATGATCATTGTTCATTCTTCTGTCTTCTGTGATAGTTGTTTGATGAGAGAAGGCATTAGGTATACTGGCATCAACTTCGGCTCCATTCTCCAGTAGCAATTGAACCATTTCAGTAAAATTCTTTTCTATGGCATTCTTTAAAATTGATTTCACTGGTTTAGCACCGTGTTTTAACAATAATTTGACCATTTCGATGTTATTCTGTCTAACGCTCACTGCCAACGCCATATTATCTTGAATGTCGACTTTAGCACCAGCCTCTATCAATAATTTTACCATTTCAATCCTACCTAAGCGAGCAGATTGTATAATTGGATAACCGTTAGATTCGTTTGGTGAAGCACGACGTTCAAGAAGTAAAATTTTAGCTAGATTATAAATTCGATTCTTTGGATCCGGTTCTTTGAAAAACCATTGGGGAATTGGTCTATTTTCATAAGGAATAAAACTTTGACCATTAAGTCTAGAATATATTAGATCCAACTGATTTAGAACGTCTTTATTAAAGAATTTCCATTTTAACCCTCGAGATAATGCCCGTTCACAATCGTTATTATATCTTTTCATTAGCCATTGAGTTTTTACACTTGTTTGTGAGGTAGCAACATGGTGAAATGTGCGTGATACAAGAGCAAGATCTGGATTTTTTGCAAGAACAAAAATATACTGTAAAA